ATATTCATACAGTATTGTTTTAAATAAATTTATATATATATTTCAAATTATAATAAGTAAAAAAAATTTTTTATAAATATAATAACAAAAACAACAATAAGTTATACTGTAATACAATAAAAAATTATTTGTTTTAAAAAAAATAAGATTTTTCTACTAAAGATTTCTTTTAAATATTTTTTGTTTTGTGTTTTTAATTTGTTTGTATATCTTATTTTGTTTAGGATATTATACATACATATTGTATATAATTTATCAAAAAATAAAATAATATTCATTACATTTATTTCTCTATTACTCTTTGTTTTATTTGTTTGTTATTTATATATTTTATTATATATATTATATATATATACTATATATATATATATATATATATGATAAATATAGATATTATTTTATGAGAATATTTATTTTATTTTTGTTGCTATACTAATGCTTATTATTTTTTTTATTATATTGTATTGTTATGTTATATACAATATATATATATATATATATATAAATATTGTTTTATTTTCTATTTTATCTCCTAAAACACTTAATGACTATAGAGTTATAAATAAATATATATAAAAAAATTCATTCAATAATAATCCCCTAAAATGACTGGATTTCTAAATAGTTTTTATTTTCTGAAAACCCAAACATAATGTATAAACTATTGAATATATATAATATATATATTTGAATACAAATTTCATGGGCATAACAACAATATTGTCAATCAATTTTTAAGCCTTTATACAGTATATAGTATATTATTATATTATAGTTTTTTATGCATATGTAATACAAAATATATATATATACATTATATTAGTTACCAAAACACTTGTCATAAAATTTAATGAAAATGATTTATTCTGCATATTATTATATAATTATAAAGAATATAATATTATCAACAATTATTTTTTTGAAGTTTTATATATATATATATAATTATAAGAATATCTATATATATATATACTAAGATACAAATATATATATATATATATAATGTTATATATATATATATATACAGTAATATACTAAACAATAAACCAGACAATAATAAAATGCTATAAAATACTATATAATATTATATATATATATATAGAAAACTGTTTGCTATCTCTCTCTCTCTCTCTTTCTCTCTCTCTCTCTTTCTCTCTTTATCTCTCTCTCTCTCTCTCTCTCTCTCTCTCTAAAAATAAAACACACATTTCATTTAATACCATAAAATTAGGAGTATTTTGCTCTCCATTGGAGACCAGTATTACAGTTAGTTTGCGAAAAGACATAAATGAATTAAAATAATTGTCAAACAAAGTGAATACCAGTTGTTTTCCTGAATAAGAAAATTAGTTGATTTTCTGGGGGAAAGACATCTCAAATGAGTAGTAGTAGTAGTAGTAGTAGTAGTAGTAGTAGTAGTAGTAGTAGTAGTAGTAGTCATACTATATAAGTATAGCCACAACATATAACACTAATAAGGACACCACCACTACTACTATACCATTGAATACAATAATAATAATAATAATAATATACAGTATTTAACTGTATTATAGAGTATTGTGTGTAACAAATAGTAGTACTACTGTTTGATTGCATTTTGTTAGGCTATGCTCTCTCTCTCTCTCTCTCTCTCTCTCTCTCTCTCTCTCTCTCTCTCTCTCTCTCTCTCTCTTAAAATTGATGGCAAATAACTTTAACTGTTATTTTCAAATGTCTAACTCATTCACTTCACTCACTCACTCACTCACTCACTCACTCACTCACTCACTCACTCACTCACTAACTGACAAAACTGTTTATCTGTTTGTCTGTCTTTATGGTTGTCTTATCTCTCTTTCTTCTCTCTCTCTCTCTCTCTCTAACTCTAAGAATTGGCGTCACATCACGTAAAACATAAATATATATTGAGTTCTCTCTCTCTCTCTCTCTCTCTCTCTCTCTCTCTCTCTCTCTCTATGGAGTTAAACAAAAATATATATAAAAAAAATTTTATTTTTTAGTATTTTGAAGTATTATGATAGCCTATTAAATATATTGATATACATTGTACATTGTATATACATTTAATAATATAAATAATAAATTTAACAAATAAATAAATGTTTTTAATTTGTTTTTCTTTTATTAAATTTTATATATAATATAAATTATTAGTGTTTTAATTATTTTATTTATTTTTTTATAAATTTCAATATTTATTTTGAAAATATTAAGCAACAAATATTTTAGTGTTAAATAGTTGAGTAAATAATTGATGAATAGCTTTATAAATAAGTTAATTATTTTTTAATATTAAAATAAATAATTTACTAAATTTTTTTTCAGAGAGAAATAACTAAATCTATTTAATATTAATTATATTTATATATTATATTGAATATCAAATGAAATTTATGATTACTATTTATGATTTATAATAATATAAAAATCAATAATATATTTATTTCATATATATATATATATATTGCTTAGGTGTTAAAAATATTTATTTTGCTAATATATATTTAACAACAACAACAACAAAATAGGCGCTAATATATATTCAACAATTGATTAAATAAATGCATAAAACTTGTAGTAATAGTAGTAAAGTGTTTAATAAAAATGCAATGTTTATAATGTATATAACATATTATGCATAATATATTAAAACCACAAAATATTCTGTGAATAAAAAAAATTATTTTTTTGTTGAAAGAAATTCCTCAAACAATAGATAATGTATAATAAAATACTGTATAATATTATAATAATTGATTTTATAGTCAGTCAGTCAGTCAGTTAGTCTCGTCTCGTCAGTTCAAACCCTTTTAAAATCCAAGCGAGTAAATGAGCGAATGAGTGGGTGAGTGAGTGAGTGAGTGAGTGAGTGGGTGGGTGAGTGAGAGAGAGAGAGAGAGAGAGAGTACAGACAGAGGAGAGACGGTTAGTGTAATAAAAGTGATTCAATAAAAAAAAGTAAGAATTATAAAGAATAATATTATACTGTATACTATCAGTGCTATCATATCATACCAGTGCTTAATATAGTATACCCTATATTCTGTACATTTATCTGTACTGTTTATATGATACATACTATACATAACATTCCCTGTTTTTCTGTCTCTAGTATTTTTATTATATATAGTATGGGTTCATCATCTCATATGTATGATATATGGCACGTCTCTAACACAGTGTGTGTGTGTGTGTGTGTGTGTGTGTGTGTGTGTGTGTGAGTGTGTATGTATGTATGTATGTGTGTGTATGTGTGAGTGAATGAGTGTATGTGTGTGTGTATATGTGAGTGTGTATGAGTGTAAATGTATGTATGTGTTTGTGTGTGTGTATGTATGTGTGTGTGAATGTGTGAGGTTATGTATGTGTGTGTGTGTGTGTGAGTGAGTGTGTGTATGTATGTGTGTGTGAATGTGTGAGGTTATGTATGTGTGTGTGTGTGTGAGTGWGTGTGTGTGTGTGTGTGTGTGTGTGTGTATGTATGAGTGTGTATATAAATTTTGTGCTAAAACTATGATATATGGTATTATTATTATTATTACAATATATATATACAGTGAAAACAATGCCTTATTTTTCACTCTCAACGAAAATCTCTGAATAAATATTTATTTATTTATTTATTTTTGCAAAAAATATTTTATATATATTTTATGTCTCGAAAAAATTTTCTAAATATTTTTGTTGTTGTTGTTTGTATTTAATTCATAAATTGCAATAATGTTGTAGTTATTGTGTAACTATTTATTAATATTTATTTATTATTATTATTTTTTTTTTGATTTAACTTTCAGACACATTATATATAATAATACATTATTTAATATCATTATTATTATATTATAAATTATTATTAAATATTTTGTGTTATAAAACTTGCTTTTTTGTGTTGAAAATGTGTTATATTGTAATATAATTTTTATTTTTATTTATAATGTTTTTTATTATTAATAATATTTAAGCAAAATTAATATTTAGCTTTTATGTGCATTATTTTAATATATATTAAATATATATATATATATATATATATATATATATATATATATATATATAATATTTTGCTTAAATAATTATTTAAATATATATAAATATGTTTTTTATGTAAATTTTTTTATATAATTTAATATCTAATAATAATAATAATATTATTAAATACTATATGTATAATATTACTTATTATTATATTATATATAAAGTACTGTACTATTGACTAATAATCATTAGCGCAAAAATACTAGTATTTATAATATTTATATATTTTTTATCTAAATTATATGTATTAAATAATTTGTTAAAATATAGTGAAAAAAAATAAATAATATTATACTAGAAAATTAATGCACAAAAAAATATTATTTATTATATATATGTGCCTATATTTCTATAATAAATAAAAATAATAAATATTTAGTAAAATTAATATTATTATCAATAACAACAAAATAAAATCATTGTAGACATAACTGTATGTCAAAAATAATTGAATTGATTATATTTGTCTATACATTAATAATAATAATAATAATAATAATATATTAGTACTTAATTTAATTTCATCATAACTTTTGACTGAATTGATTTTGTTTATAACATTAAATTAATTACATTATTATTATATATTGATATATGTCATACAGTGTGTCAATAAACTAATATGTTTGTATGTGTATATATATACATATATGTATGTGTATGTATGTGTGTATGTATGTGTGTATGTATGTGTGTATGTATTTGTGTGTGTATGCATGTGTTTGTATGTATGTGTGTATGTATGTTTGTATGTATGTGTGTATGTATGTGTGTATGTATGTGTGTATGTATGTGTTTGTATGTGTATATATATGTGTGTGTGTGTGTGTCTATATGTATGTGTATGTGATTCACTGTCTATATACTACATGTCGGATATAAACTAATTTATTAAATATATATATATATAAACAGTACAGTCAAATAGTAATAACAACAACAATCATCATCAACTAACTAACCTCCATAAGCTTCGCAAACAATCGTAAGACTCTGGCCCTCATCGTAGGGTCCGATCACATCCCGGAGCCTATTTCCGTCCATGTCTTTAATGATGACTTGTTTTGGCGGAACTATATATATATATATAAACAAGAAAATAATAAGTAATGACAACAACAACAACATAGACACTAACAATAGAAACATATCTAATATAAACAGTAGTAATAATAATATATTATTTTTTGATGTCACCAACAATAGGGGGTGGGGAGGAAAGTATGGCTAAAAAGTGGTAGTAATTACCGGTAACATTCAGATGAAACAGAAACTGTTGGGTCCTATGTTTACGATAGTCGACACGACACTGATATTCATCTTCATCGGACTCGACTACCGGATCCAATGTTAACGATGGCGGCTGTCTGGACATATCCATTACGGCCCGACCGGCCAACTGATCGCCGGGTACTTGCTTAGAGTTGGCCAGTCGACTGGTACGGGCATCGACACTGTAGATGGGTATACCAGTTGAACCCTTATACCAGACCAATAGGGATACGTCATCTTCAATCCATAGACTGGTATTACACGGCAACGATATTTGGCCGCCGACTACGGCCCGCAATTCACTGATAGCTATAATAATCAAAATAAAAAATAAATTTAATTAAAACTAAAACAAAATAATTGCTATAAAAAATCGATATAATTATCTTATTATAGATATTATAGTTATTATTCTTATATATATTGAATATATTTTATATTTTTAAATAACGCTATTATTATTAAAAAATAAAACACTCAAAGAAAAGCAATATAATGTGTAACTTATTTTTATTTTATTTTTTTTGTTTGTTTGAAAAACTATTTATAAAACTAATAAAAGTAAGTCCCGGCTATATATATATACAGTATATATATAACTATACTATAATAGATTAGGAGTGAGTGAGTGAGAGAAAGAGAGAAAAGGAAAGAGAGTTATATAAAAAAAGAGAGAAATTTTTTTTCAGTGATTAGACTCGTTATAGTAAACTATAAGCACAACAACAACAACGACAACAACACAATCAACAACAACAACAACACAATAGCTATACCAAGCAATACAACCAACAAAAAAAATAAATCTATAAATTGTATCGAAAGGCAAAACGTAAGTATCAAATGGTCGGTCTATTTAAAGAATATATATATATATATATATCTTATTATTGATTTTGAGAGCAAACTATTTGATATTATATATAATATATATAATATATATATATAGTATATATAAGCAAAAAGCGTTATAAGTTATTATATTATATAAAACGGTTAAATGAAAAGACACTATGTTTTGTGTTGTTGTTGTTAAATGGTTGAGTTATATACGGTATATATATATATATATACTGTATATATTGATATTGACAATAATAGTATAGTAGTTAAAAATAATATATTAAATTATATACGGATATTATATAATAATAATAATAATATAAAGTGAATTGAATGGAAAATAAATAGTTTTTTTCTAAAAAAAAAATTATTTTAGTTTTAGTTTTTTTCTATCAAACAATTATATGATAGACTGAGTATTATTATTATTATTATTATATAAATGAGATAACTTTGACACATATGTGTTTGCGGTTTATTATTATTAATATTTTATTAGTTTTGAATTGTTTAATATTTATTGATAACTTTTAAACACATAAATACATACTGTATATTTACACACACATATATACACACATACACACACACACACACACACATACACACACACATACACACACACATACACACACACACACACACACACACATACACATACACTCACATACAAACAATTTTGTTAACTATGCAACAAATAACAAACAAAAAATCAATCATCAATGTTAATTATTTATTATATATATTTATATATACAGTATATATTAATACTTTACAATTATATAATGACATTTATAATGTGTGTGTCTATAAAATATAAATGATAGATATGAAATTAATTTTATAGTAATAACAACAACAAAAAAAATAACAATAAATATTTAGTGCATTAACCTGTTTATCGTTGTTGTTGTTGTTTATGTTTATTTTTAATTGATCCCTGGATATTTTAATTAAATTATAGGCCTGTATAGTCTATTGCTATTATTATTATTATTATTATTATTTTGTTACACATTGCCTCAGTAATTATCATTAAATTATATATATATATAGATAGTATATATATATATATATATATATATATATAGTAAAAAATATTATATAATAAAAACTCTACATTAAAATATCTCTAATGATAATAATTGAATAAAAATCTAATTTATATATTATATATATATATGTAGATTAAGTCTCTCTCTCTCTCTCTCTCTCTCTTTATAGTCGAAACAATTTGTTATATTTTTTTCTACATTATATGATATCTGTATTTTTTTACACAAACTTAATGTATGTGTGCATTGAATACATCATAAAGAAAAATCATAATTTTATTTTACTTTTCAAAAAAAATAATAATTAGTAGTTTTTAATAGTTTTTATATATATATATCAAAAAGTATATCTTTTCATATATTATTATTTTTTTGTATATAATTTATAGTTATATATGATAACAATGAACAAAAAACTAAGTTGCGTAACAACAACATCAACAACAAAAAAAAAGTTTATCAGTTTATATATGGGTATAATTATATACATTTATATATCATATATGTAGTTATATATATATGTAGAATAATAGATATAAAAATAACTACAACTATATAAATATATATATATATATATATATATAGAGAATATTCTGTATACAGAATATTCTTGTTTTCTAAACAATACTTAACAACAACAACAATACACACACTAAGCGATTGCAGTGAAAATTTCTATTGATTTTTGTTTGTTTGAATATATACTGTATATAAAACCTGAAACAACTGTGAAATGTGTTTTAACAAACTGTTTTGCACAAAGAGTTATATAATATATATATAGTATATACCCATATATATATATATATATGTGTGTATATATAATATATACCCGTATAAACAGTATATATGTATATATAGCTAGCAAACTGTGTACTCAAATAACCGGAGAGCCCTTTTTTGAGATGCCATGTGCTTAGGATATGTATATAACAGTACAGTACTACTGTATATACCGATACATACATACAGTGTCTATACTCCATGAGCGACAGGTCATCGTTGTTGTTGTTGTTGTCGATCGTCTACTCTTTTGCCGTTAGACTTACACAACAAAAATAAAACGTTTTGCGCTTTTAATGTCTTATCGCTTATAGCTAACTATTTCGCTTATTTTGTTTTATATATATATATATATATAGTATAACAGTATTGAAAGAGAGAGAGAGAGAGAGAGAGAGAGAGAGAGAGAGAGAGAGTCTAATACAATATAATATAATATAATGTGTGTAAGTATTGGGCTATTTTTTGTTGTTGTTGTTGCCAACAGCACACACACACATACATACACATACATACATACACATACACACACACACACACACACACACACACACACAYACACACACATACAGTACACTGACATTATTATATTATGTGCGGCCACTAAGCAATCCTATAACACACACACACATATACATACATACACTATATATATATATACAACTTATATAATAGTATGTTATGGATGCTATGTTGATGTTACTGACAATTTAGATCACCACTACTTATATATATAACAAACCGTTTCATATATATATATATATATACTTTTGTCTAATTAGTTATTCTCTCTCTCTCTCTCTCTCTCTCTCTCTCTCTCTCTCTCTCTCTCTCTATCCTTTGATTTGCTTACTCTTTCACTCCAACGTTATAAAGCAAAAAAAAAAAAAAAGTTTCAGTGATATCACAACAAATCTGTTTCCCAATACTACTACTACTACTACTACTACAACTACACTACTATTGTGTACTAACTTTAAGGACAACTAACTCATCATTTATATTCTGGATCTTTGCTGAATCTCTCTCTCTCTCTCTCTCTCTCTCTCTCTCWCTCACTCACTCACTCACTCACTCACTCACTCACTCACTCACTCACTCACTCACTCACTCACTCACTCACTCACTCACTCACTCACTCACTCACTCACTCACTCACTCACTCACTCACTCACTCACTCACTCACTCACTCACTCACTCACTCACTCACTCACTCACTCACTCACTCACTCACTCACTCACTATATATATATATATATAGTATACTATAGTTTGTCTCGACACTCATCAGGGATTTAATATCAAGTAATACAACAGCAAATAATATTATTATTGACTATCAGTTAAATATATATATATATATACTTTTCATACAACACACACACACACACACATAGACAACAAAAACGCAAACTACTGTTTCCTTTTAAAACTATTGCTTATTTCCAGAGAAAACATTTATATATTATATAATGTATTATATACTGTATATATATACAGTAAGTTGATATGATATACAAACAGGCAATGTATGTCTTTATTAGTGTACATTGAGAAGCACCAGTAGTAGTAGTAGTAGTAGCAACATCAGCATCAGCAGCACCGGTAGTTTCATATAACTGATTAAAACTAATCACGCAATGTAACGAAAAACTTAAACAATATTTTATATTATTTTTATATAATGTATGATTTTTTTTTGTTAGACTTAAGTAAAACTCTAGTATAGTATATACAGTGATATTAATTATATACTGTATTTGTTGTTGAGATTCATGAATCTTAAGACTACTACTACTACTACTACTACTACTACTACTACTACTACTACTACTACTACTACTACTACTACTACTACTACTACTACTACTAACTACTACTCATCTATCAATTTGTATTATAATTTTGTTTTATCCAAAAAAAAATAAATAAAATAAATAACATATTGTTTTTAATAAACAATTTAAAAATTGTAACATGAAATAAAATTAATATTTAACCATTTTTTTAAATTTAAATAGGAAATAAAACAATTGATTAAAATTTATTCATGTATTATTTTTTTTATTTAGTTAGCATATATATATTTGATTATATATATATATATATATATATATATATATATATGCATATCAAAACAAAATAGTATAAAAACCATACATAAATTATATAATAAATAATTATATTAGTTATAATATAATTTATATATATATATATGAGCGTTAAAAACAATTTTTTATGTTTTGTTTTAATATATATATATGATTTGATGTCGCATTCAATTTAATTTAGTTTTTTTTTATCCATTAAAACTTATATCACTTGAGAAATACAATATATATATATATATATATATATATATATATATATATATATATATATATACTGTATATATATATATCTACAACAAAATACTACTATTACTTAATATAACTAAATATACATATATTGCTTATAAAATATCATAACAACATTAGACATAATAAATATACTGAATATATATTAGTTAAAAATAAATATTAAATAAAATAGATAAACAAACATAAAACAAACAAACATAAAATTGTATAAATTAAATTATAAATATAGATAGCAATATATAAATAAATTATAATTATATAATTTAAGCAAACAAATTATAAAAATCAATATATATATCTAAAATTAGAAATATCATAATATAATATTCAAACATATTAAAGTGGCTTTTAATATATATTTACTTTTATAATTTACAAATTTTTAATTATATATATATACATATATAATAATAATTATAATCATAACATACTAATTATAATTATTAATATTAATTACAAATCTGGTTTAATCATTATTAATTATATGATTACAAAAAGTTTTTTTTATAAATATTTTTATTACACATATTATGATATATTAATAACTTTATGTCTACTTTTTACTAAAAATTACTAGAAATTTTTGTAATTAAAAAAAATAAAATTTTTAATAATACTATCAGTAAAAATATAATTATATAGATATATATATAAATTTTTATTAGCACTTTATTTTTGGGAATGTAGTTGAATATAATTTTTTTTTTAAATTTTATTAAACAAACAAAAACATTAAGTTTAAAATTATAATTGTTTCGATAAAAATAATTATTGATTAATTTAAAATATATATATAATAATATTATTATTAATACTTAACATTAATAATAAATTACAAAATATATATGAATATAATATAATCTCTAATTAGAAAATTAATTTTAATTAAAGTTGTGTTATATATATACTAATTATAATATACTTTCAATTTGTATAATAAATAATATAAACGTCAGATTGTATATAATGTCAATAAAAATGGGTATTAAAAATGACATTTAATTTTATTTATATTTATTTTTTGATATTTAAATAAATATCGTAGACTTATAATAGATTTACGATATATTTAAAGCATTTAAATAAATAAATAAAAATAAAAAGCAATTTGTATTTATAGTATTAATATAAAACTTGACTTTATATATATATATATATATATATATTTATAATTTCATATTTACATGAATTTATTATTTATAAGCTTTTTATAATAAACAAAACAAAAATAATATGTTAATATGCAATAAAAATATTATTTATTTTTCTAAACAAAAATATTTTTTTTATTATTAGTTTTGTTGGTCAATATAAGTCCACTTATAACTTGTATAATATACTACTAATGGTATTTAATAATAATAATAATAATTTTATTATTATAAATAATAATAATATAGTAATGGATTTCAATACTACTATTACTTAATAGTATTTACTAGTAATGTATAATTTATATAATATATTATGACATTAAATATATAATAGATTTTTAAGTTTAGTTAATGTGTGTGTGTTTGAAAGGTTATATATATTTTTATATTTATATGATATATATATCTATATATAATTTATTTAAAAGCAATATAACCAACAAAAATAAAATTGATTTTATCCCAGACTAGAAAATAATCAAAATATTAGCGAAAAAAATATATTAAATTTCAATAAATGAGTGTAATTTCAGATGATTTTTTGTTTTATTATTATTATTATTCTTATGAATTGAATTTTTCAAACAATAATAATAAGTAATAATAAGTTTGAGAGATATAAGAAAAATTTATAACACAACAACAAAAAATGTTAATAATAATAATAATATTTTTCTCAAAAATTTTTTTTAGTTTAGTTTCAATACATTTTCTATACACTTATTTTTTTTTATATTTTAATAGACATTTATTTTTTTTTTAAATAACGATATCTCATGAATCATATGAATCGTTGTTGTAGTTGTTGTTTGAATCACATTTGCCAACAAATTTTTTTGATAACAAAAATAAAATAATAAAAATATTACATTATATTATATATATATATATATATTAGTATTATATATGTTAGTAGTAGTACTGTATTATAATTTTTTATATATATATTTTTAGATATATATATATAAATGAGACAATATTTTATGATAAAATTCATTGAACTATTATACAGTATATGATATATATATATATATATATATATATATATGGATATCAAAAATTTTTATTTAATATTATCCTAACAAATTGTTTTTTTTTATAAAAAATTTTGTATTATGTTAGAAATATATTTATTATTTTTTTTAAAAAAAGCACATTGATAATTTACAAAAAAAAATTTACAAATTATCAACAATTTAAAATTTATTATTATTTTATATTACATACAATATCTTTAATAATCTTTAATTTACTTAAAATTAATAATAGATATATCTATATATCAATAGTAATACTGTAAATAAAATAATTGGGGTTTTATTGGTTGTATTTTTTTTGTTTGTAATTATTTGAATACTAAAATCTACTTTAAATATAAAAAAATTATTAATATGCTTATATTGAGTGATGATGATAATATTAATAATATATTATTATTATATTAATTTTAAAAATTTAATTTTATCAGTAATTTGATATTTTTTATTTTTTTATTATTTAAAGTATAAATATAGAGAAAAATATATAATCAAATAATAATCAGATAAATGCAACCAAAATAAAAAAATAATTTTAGACAAATTTAACATTCAATAGACGACAGTTAATATCATTATTCATATAATATGATAATAATAATAATAAATAAAACTAAAAACTTTTTTTCCATGACTTTTGCCATTTTCAGAGACATTAAACTCAT